CACACCTACCTAGTGTGACAGCTTAAAAAACGTCGATTTTTGGGAATTAAAAAAACTACTGTATCGATTGTTTTAAAGTTTGCAGGGTATATTTTTACATGTTTCAACAACAAATTTTTGAAAAAATCAAATTTTTTTTGTGTTATAATACTATACGCGCTCACGGACGGTGCTAAAAGAAAAGGTCCTCCACAGCTGCAATGATTCCAGACTTCAAATTCGTAAATGTTGGTTGGAGAAAAGCGCGTTTAAAAATAAACTGCTCATTAAAAGGCTGTAACCCAAAAACTATTAGAGATATCGATTTGAAATTTTAGTATGTTATTTTTAAAGATTTTTTTTTTTTATATTCAAAAAATATATTTGTTTGTTATAAATTTTTAATAATTTTTAGCTATAATTTATTTTGGTATAGATGCCATCATCATGATCATGTTTATGTAACATCGTCGATAGTATTTTAAATTTATTGTAATTTAGGATATGACTAATGCTTTAAATTGCATTTTGTGTAGCTTAAAATATATAATAATAAATTTTTTTATTATTTGTCTGCTAGTAAGTTCCTATAATTTTTTATATTACAGGCCCAACCTTTCTCTATGCGCTCTGCACAAAATTTATGAAAACCCTATGCCTACAAAAACATAATAGTTCACCCTTTCAGCGCTAAATTTTAATAAATTTGAGCAAACAAATAAACAGCAAACTTCTTATTTGACCCAAGAACACCAACACACACACACTCACACACGTGTCGGTCTACTTTTCCACCTCAGCAGCTAGAAGAATAACAGCAAATAATAAATCTCGCTTTGACAACAAGACTTTCACAGTCTGGCATGATATTTTGCGATCTTTCACGTGTTCCGCGCTTTCAAGCTGTCTAATTTTATTATGCAAGCGAAGCTTATTTTCCGTTTTCTTTATGCTCTTTTAATTTTACACCGAATATTAGTTGTTGTTATTTTCTATAGTTTTCAGCTGGTTTGTAGCCTTTTTATTTCTTGCCCCATTTTGGGTCTCATCTATTTTATGTGACCGCTGACATTTACACCACTCGCGGCGCTTTTTCCTACTTCACGCTTTTGTATTTGTGCACTTTGCCATAAATCATATTTTTATTTATGACATTGTACCCGATTTACTTTACGGTACGCGATTCGTATCTTCTCTCACTGAATGATTCATTTTCGTTTGTTTTGCTTCGATTTTTTTGTTATTGTTGTTAGTTTTTTATTTTTATCTTTTTATTGTAGAAAATACAATAGTAATTTCAAGGCAGCACGAAATGGAGGCATAGCGTAATAAAAAATAATGCTTTTGTTGAATTTTATTATATTTTCTCATGTCTACTTCCCTCTCTCTCACACACATTCACACACACTTACAAATTTATGTGCATATGTAGGCTTTCCCTAGCCGTATAACTGTCTGCAAGCATGCTCACAAACGTTAAAATTGATTTATACTTGATTAATTCTATGTGCTGCAAGCAAGCGTGAATACGAAAAAATTATTGAAATGTTTGACTAATGCTTATCAGCCATTTTCACTTAAAAGCTTTCGCGCGAGCTTACAAAGAACTAAAACGTCTTCTCCTGCTGGTAGCGCGCCTGCAACACTTCAACGGTATATAACGGTAATTGAATTGCATCACACAAACAAACATTGAATCCATCACAAAAGCACACAGCGCCGCACAACCGTTGCAACCCCCGCAGCAGCATATCGTTTAACTGTCAAATGCTTGGCAATTCTTCATCAATTTAATGTGAATTCTCGTAGTTCAGTAAATTTTGCAGGTTAAATAAGACAGCTACACACACCAATATAGTATCAACACACGTCTGTACCTTCTTCATTTGAGCGCCGACTTCATTTACTCACTGCAGACACTTTCAATTCGTTGCTTGATCGTCTTCATCTAACAATTGTGTTGTTGCCACGCTACAACTTTTACCCGGTTGCTATGATTTATTCAGCCTCCTTCCGGCAAAACCTATTCTCATTGGACGTGCATATGTTCGACCGGCTGGCAGAGTTTCTTCCACTTGGCTACACGATTGCAAATAAAAAATGACAACTAATTTCCGGTATTACTATCGTTTATATAAATCTGCAATGAAGAAAATAAATGATTAAGGGACAGCGTATGTTATTTGATAGTGTTTGTGCTAGTTTGAGTATTAAATTCAATATTTTTCGGCACCACAATTTGTGTTTCGTTTCAACCACGTACCTAACAAGTATAAGAATAAAGTTTGGATCAACGAAGTCCAAACAGCATATAAGCGCTAAAGCAAGCGAACTCGTCGCGTAGAGTTTTAGATCAGGTTAGATTAGCTAAAACGACTGAATTGAACGAATTGAGTAATCTCACTTGGACAGCAAGAGTCGGGTGTGGATCAAAAAGACCGTCGCATATCTGCAAAGCGTCTGGAGCTTGCTACAAGACGTGAGTTGATTTTAAAATATAAATTAAAACCAACACCCAGATATTGAAGTTCTTCAAGCAACAGGAAAGAAAAATATTTTTATGCTTATCAGAAATCGGGAAAGAACTTTGCATGAATTACAAAAAAAATTTGCTCGAAATTTCATCGAAGCAACCACGGTGATTTTTTCAGTACGAGCCAGGCTCAAGTCACTTAAGTCTACGTGGGATCCATTGTGATTCCCTTTTAGGAACACCGTAGTCTGTTTGAAAAGACTGGTAACTGCCTAGCATATTTAGTGCTCCAAAACAGTAAATTTATACGTCAATACTACTACAGGTTCTTTAAAGTTAGTAAGGGCAGAATAAAAAAACTTAAAAAACGTTTCCGAAAATTCATCGTATATAATCTCATATGCGATTAAATAGTTTATTCTTAAACGACATCATAAACTCCACTGTTTCGCTGTGTTATTTTCATTATCTCTTGTACAAGCGCAACTTTTTAAGTTTCCACTCATTACTTAACAGTTAAACCCAAATCTCTGCTCGAAACTTTAAAACTTCACCCTGCTATTGTCTGCTTATCACCCCAAAACGTGCATTAGTATGTTCCACAAGTTCACACATTTGCTGTGCTAGCAATCGGCTGCAAACAATGGCGCATCTTTGTGCTTAGTCAATCCTTTACGAGTGCTTTCTACATGCGCGCACTCATCCACTAATAAAATACTAGTTACTTATCTAGCAATCCACAAAGATAGCACGTTGTGGCGTCACCCGCACGAAAGTAGCACTACCTGTTCAACGTTGGCGCTTTGCACTTTAAACACACGCACACACGTTGCAGGCGAATCACCCACTTTGGCTTCGTTTGAAAACTTTGGCAAATTCACGTTTTGTATTTTATAATAAAATTACTTTCAAAAAAGTTCATTTGTACTTGCACTTGTGCCCAAACTTCCACTTTTTAGCGTTGAAATTTCAAAAGTTGGAATTTTCTTTTATTCTTTCGAAAATTTTCACCGCAACTGTTACACTCATTTTCCAGTTATGCACGTTTCGCAAGCCTTTGCCGCGTTGCATGTTTTTTTTGTTTTGCAACTCTCCGTTGAAATACTTTACACATACACATGCATACAGCTGTTTTGACACTCCTTTCAAATTTTCGCTCGCCGACTGCAGTTGCACTTCTAATTTCTTACTTCTACTTGGCGCTACGCGTATTTCCGCCTGCATCTATTTCTTCTTTTATTGCGCAACTTTTCTTTTTACGCCTCTTTGCTTTTAATTTCTTTTCTTTTATTTCTGTCATGTTTCTTCGCATTTGTTCTTATTCCTCGCGCATATGCTCCTTCGCCAACGTCTGCTTTTTCACAACCAATTTTTGTCTGTTTACACGGCGTCTTGCCTTATTCCTGCGCTGTTTGCGCTACGTGCTGTGCTTTCATGCTTTCAAACTTACCTCCGTTCGACGTCGCGACCGCTGTACTGCTGCTCTGCTTGCTCGCGCGTTATTCGTAAAACATGTGCGTACCTAAACATACAAGTATATACTTAGCTCCCACTGTTTTTGACCTCTTTCGGCACGAAACTCCATCAAGCATGCGTGTAGCACTCTGCTGCTTTGTAAGTGAGCTTTATTTCCTGCAGCTTGAAAATCCTATTACCCTTTTGGTGTGCGTATTTTTTTTTATGCATTTCTTCTTTTCAATTCACTGATACCTTCTTTAGTGCCTTTGTGTCAACTCCTATTTGCTTTATCTTACATAATATGCGTATTTGTAGCTACGCAATGTATCTTTATTATTGTTATTGCTGGTTTCTCGCTCCCCTTCAGCTCGTTGGAAAATAAGTAGAACGTGAAATAAATTTATCAAATCAGCAACAGTCGTTCTTAGTCAAGCAAGCTTGCGAGTTTTCTCCAACGCAAGTGTTTCTTTGCTGTTTCGCTTTGCTCTGCCTCTGCCGTTTGTAGACGTACAGAAGTGCTCTCGGCATGCGAAGCTAAGATTTACAAATTTTCATACATTTTTTGACTATCTACTTGACTGCTTGCATGCTCGCAATTGTAAGTATCCACTGAATACTACTTCTATTATTCTTCATACAAGCTTCTCACTTTTCGACGATATATTCCTCTCTATGTTTGCACTTCAGCATGCGCTACGAAATCTATGAAATTCTACCGCCTCCTTTGGTCTTCTACCACCGTACGTAGCACTTAACTTCACTACAAATTCGTGTACTTTTCATCATATTGTTCCGCCGTTATTATCCTTTGGCATTCTAGCGTGCCATCAATGCGAAGCGTTTTACCTTTCCTTAGCGTATGTTAAGGCTTTTGAAATTAAGTTTTCTAAGAGCACTTATTCATAGCCATATGCATACTTTCATATACACACTGTATTATACTTCCTCTAGATGTAGCATATATACATACATATATATGCTCCTCTCTATTTACTCGCTCTTATATGCGCGCTATTTTTTGTGCAATTTTAAACTTGTTTTGACATTTAAATGATTTTATAACATTTTCCCTTGTCTCCTTTCTTTTCAGCGCTCTTCTGCAATGTGATATGGTACCAAAAGTTTTTTATATGCGTTTAATATATGCAAATTGTTCGAGCATTTCGCCCAAAGTGATATTTTATGGCGTAGAACACGTAATTGAGTAGCGAACTAAAGGTGAGTTATTGGGTATATAACCATTAACATATATTAAAAAATGAAAAAAAAATTAAAATTGCTGCAAAACAGAATAATTTTTCACTGAAATTAAGTGAATACAGTGCGTTCCGGAAGTTATCGAAACTTATACGCGTAGCGTGAAAGAAAAAATATCAAGTTATGTTGTTGCTTGTGTGAGATATTATCACGAATCTTAAGCTATACAAGGAAGCAAGTAGAGAAACAGTTGTTTTCCCATCCAAAGGCGCCTTCTGTTGTTGTACAGAGAAGCGCCAATTCGGTAATATGTTCTCTACAGACATTTTCGTACCATGCAAATACCTCGTGTTCTGTTGTGACTTCGTGTTTTAGCACACAAGTGGAATCGTGTACGATCTTTTGGGTATATTGGGTGCTATATTCGTGGGATTTTTTTTTTTTTATTTAAACGTTCTAATATAAATCTATCGCGTTCTGCATCGACCGGCACTAATGGTACACAGTAGGGGCAATATCTGGGTTATCAGGCGGGTGAGGCAAAACTTGCTAGCCGTTGTTTTCCAAATAGTTTTTAACTGGTCTTGCGACATGAGGCCGAGCTTCGTGTATAGTCGCGAATTCCGGACGTTTTACGACCATCACTCGCTTTACTTCGATGAGTTGTTGGCGATAGCGTTCTACATTAAGGATTTCAACCGGTTTTAGCAGCTCATAATACAACACGCCCTTCTGATGGCACCAAATACAAAGTCATGAACATTCGGCATATATCGAATAACTTTTTTATTATTTTATGATGAGCACAATGCACAGAGCAGCGGTTCATAAACAGTTTAAAACTGCGATGTAGTCGTTCAGTACAATATTAAAAACTGCTAAATTACTTTAAGTAGAAAAGGCGGAATCATAGCTAAGATACTGTGAGTGTCAAACTAAATCCCTCTACAATGAGACTACTTTAAAACCAAATGCGCAATAATTCAAAACGCTTAACAACAAAAGCATTAACAATAACAAAGTATTATAAATCGTTGGCCATTGAACTGCTGCCACTGAGACGGCATTATACGACGACACATCACCCCACTTGCCATTTTGACTTTGAAGGGGTTTGCCTGCCTGCTTGCCTGCCTGGTAATCTAAAAGTGCGAGCACTACCACCAACACTCGCTTGCCGCTGTCGTTGGTAGCCAAGCAAGCACTTAGCCAGACAGACGGACGAACAGTTGGTGGGTCGGTCGCCCGGCCGCTTGGTTGTACGAATGACCAGTCAAGTGTGCGAAATAACTACGATTACCAGCATTATTATTGTGTTTTCTTGTTCATGTCGCTTCTGCTATCGTTGTGGTTTTGACGTAGTATCTACATGTATACTACACTCTTGAGTTCCTTATTCATTCATCCATTTAGTCAGCACAGCGACTACGAACTTGGTCAACTAACCAGACAGCCAAGGCAGCCAGTTAGCTCCAAAGCTAGCTAGCCAACATTTGATCATTCAAGCGCAAATGCGTTTTGTCCAATCGAGCGTTTGGGCAATTATTAATAGTCCCGACACGTAAAACTACAAATATAAGTGGAAAATAAAAAGTAATAAAACACACCGAAACAATTGTGGCGTTACAAGTGTCTGTGCGCGCTCAACAAGTATATGCAGAGGCACAGTCCGTTGTTTCCGCACTTGTGCTCCTCTGGTGACAACGGTACAAGCGTTAGTAGTGCACTTTCACTACAACATTCTAAACGACGTCGACTTCATCCATACTGGGACTATTGCCACGGGAATAGTTCGCATTCCATACAATGTTATCAAACAGCTCAGCCATATGGGTGTTTATAATGCTGATAACAATTGTTAATGTCGAGAGACATGCTAGAGATAACTCTGACTCATTGTGGCTTTACGGCGAAATATTTTGTTGTAAACATTCTCGAGTCCAAGAGAGTCTTATAACAATACAAAATGCGGCACAGTTTTTAATGGGATTCTCATATAATTGCCTACAAATTTGCTTGGGAGCATATTCGGACATTAAGAGTTCTATCGAAAAAAAATTAATCGTAACCAAAAGCTGCTTGGGAATTAGTCACAGTATAGACATATCAGGTACCTTATTTCAATGTCAAGTATCTTAAACATTCTTTCATTCGAGAAATTTAACGTTCATACAAAGTTGACTACTCGTTCTCGAAATTTGAACCTCATTCGTGCTGCATGAGGTGGTTTTTGGCTACAATAACCTTTATATTAGGCGAAAGAGAGCTAAGTTAAGCTTGGCGCACTCAATGCCTAGGTAGCGTAGATGTCTGAAGACGTACCTAGACCGTTAAGAAGCCCATTGTTAAACCTTAACTTAACGTCTAACTACTAAAAATAAAGATTATATATGTCGAGGACTAATCAATGAAGTATTTAAGCCAGCATGTGGTGAAAAGTCCATCCAAAACTTTAATTTAAACTAACTGTTAGAGAAAACGCATGGCAAATGCTTCCTTCAACCAAACGCCGTCTTCCAAGTCAAGTTTCAAACGCCTAGCCTTGAAGTACAACGGTATACACAAAGCTTTTGAAAACAATAGCTATGCAAAATACGCTGGAGTCCTCAAAGAAAACCACGGCCGTTAATAACTAAATCATACTATTCGCTCATCTTCTACTACATGTAATTCGCATACTCCTCAGCACTGTTAGCTGCCACAGATCTTCTCTTTCTTCATTCTGATTATTTGTGTTCTTTAAACAGTTAGATGCCCGAAGTTCCGTAGCAAAAACCGCTTAATACGTTCTGAACGTTAGCGCTCCTCTCCGTTTGCTACAGTTTAATGATATCTTCGTACGTCGCGCTGTCATGCCATAAAAGTCTATGCGATCTCGACTCGACTTGGCCGCTTCGCCACGCCCATTTCAATTGCCATGCTGGTTAAATACGTCTTATTAATGTTTTTTTTTGTTTTTTTTTTTATTATTTTTTGTCGTTTGTTTTTAAGCCGCCAATTCGTTTCGCTTACCATTTTAGTCTGCTTTATCGCGTTCACTATTATTTGGTTCCTATATTTGGTTGGCACAAATTTTGTCGGTCGATTTCTGTGCACCATTTATTTTGTGGTATTTTCATAGAGCCTGCTTAAGTTTATAATCTTGTGTTTTTGCACTCCGAATATTTATTTGTATTGCCAGCCGTGCCTTTATTTCATCTGCAAGTGTGGTTTTATGCTCCGTACAACCATCTAGTTGAGCGCTTCGAAACCATTTCATTCAAGTCTCGCTGCCTGCCACATTGCATTCACTTCGCTTTATCGGCGCTTTTTGTCTTCCTCGGCTGCAATTTTTCACTACTTGCGTACAGATTATTTCGAGTTCACTCTGCTCGTAGCATATGCTAGCGATTAAATCTGCAAATGTGTTGCATAAATAAAAATTAATACGCTGAAATTAATAATAGTTATAGCATTATAAATTTATATGTCTGATTGTATTTAGAACACTCGTTATCAGTAGTTGGCAATCATTGTTGTTTTAACTTTTCCTATCATTAATCACAGCTCAATGCTTGTCACTTATTTCTATGACTACGAGTGGTACTTTGTTTGAGTGGCATTGCGGTTTCGTAAATGCATTTCGTTGTTTGGTGATTAATTCTAGCTAAACCGACGCAGAGCTGCGGTCAAATATATGCCTGACATCTTAGGCCTTTGACTTTCTCTGACCGCATTAATTAGCGCTGATAATATTGCCACTCCTTGCGGTTTGAATGCCTTCCCCGTATACTCGTATTTACTTATGTATGTTAATTGGTCGGGTTTTAAAATTCCTGAAATGCAATTAGACAATTTGTAAATAGATTATTAGTGTGTTGCTGCAAGCGTTATTTGGTTGGCGGGGAATTCTAAATCTGATTAAACTGAAAGGGAACTTGTTATTTTCAGAATAGTTGTCTTAGTATTCCTGAATAAAGTTTAGAGTATTTTTACAGTAAATAACTTTTATTAAATGCAGCTTTTTAGATAAAAAAAAGCCGGTCTACGTGCTCTATGCCACAAAAAATTTAAAACTGTGAAATTTTTATTTTATTTTTATTTTTTAAGCTCAAAAAAGCGCTATTTTGACATAAAAACTTTAAAGAATCTATGGCGATTACTAAATAGCATCTACGCTCAAATTTTCAGTGTTAAATTGTCGTATATTTTTTTAGTCGTTTAAAAATAATACTTGCCAAAGTATTGATCGCTTGTATACATATCCCAAGCATTTTACAATACATACTTAAACTCGTTCGACTGAAGGTCACATTAATATACTGCTCACATTGTGAATGGCACAATTCCCATAAAAACACTGACTCTCATTTACTCTTACCATTTCATGTTTATGCTCCTTCATTCGAAAGTAGATCATGAAATGTAAGTAAATAATTAATTTTTGCCGTGTACAGCTCAATTACTTTGACAGAAGAAAGTGCGTTACGGCATTTAAGCCATAATAAATTTTTTAACATTGAGAACCATTTACTCAACCCCCTTTGACATTGCGCTTTTCAGTTCGACTCACTATATATAATATCATCGGTCGCAGCGTAAATATTTATTTATGAAAAGTTATTATTTCAATTTTATGTTCTCCTTGTCTCAAATTCATCAAAATACAATTTTATTTACAAGTATAAATAAACTTGACACACACACATACATATCTACGAGTACAACATTTTTGTTCTGTTGTTTGTATTTATATATAATATATTTGTGGCAACGTATATCGTAACGGCAACGTTTAATGTCAATATCGCAAGTCGCCGTTGTCAACGTTATCGTTCATCAAAATCAACATTAAGCTCGCAGACCACGACGATGGAGCGCCTCACCGGCACATGTCTCATGTCAAGTGAATTTATATAGTTTTATGCACAGCGCTTTGCATTAAGTCTTTTTAAATGTACAGATATAATTGAAAACCGGTGGTACACTATTTTATAGGCAAGGTGGCAAGCTTGGGCGAGTGAGTGTACTCAGTTATGACC